AAAAAAAAAAAAAAAAAAAACACATCTTAGTAAAACCAATACCTTCTCAGCTTCGCATCGAAGCTAAAAATTTAAGATCCCTATATTTTTTAGAAATAACAGGTTTTTTAACTTATAGCAAAATTATTGTAATATATTATAGTTTTGTCGTCGTGTAACAAGTAAGTAAGTAGCTTAATTGATATTTATGGATTTTTGATAACATCGATGATTTTATCGATGTTACTAACAAGGGATACACAGTGGTTTAAAATAAAATTAAAATAAAATAAAATTCATAATTTTAAAATTTAGAAGTTAGTCAGCGATAATCAATGAATAAAATTGTGTAAATCTTACTCTTGTTTATTTTNTAAAGCCCAAAATTCATAATTTTAAAATTTAGAAGTTAGTCAGCGATAATCAATGAATAAAATTGTGTAAATCTTACTCTTGTTTATTTTACACTAGGTTTCGCCTACCTGAGACCTTACGAGCCTCACGTTCCTTCCACGCGTGGGCCTCTTGGGCCATCCTCGTAAGTAAGTTACTGATTCCAGTAGGATAACCTCGCTACGCCGGTCACGATAAGTGCTTTACAGGAAAAATATTACATCAAAATCAGTGTAACAAAAATATGTTAACAATTTATTTATTGAAATCAGGAAAATTCAAAAAGAGATGTACTTTTTAAAATGTACTGGGTATAATATTGACATTTGTTAATGAGGCATTCAATGGGTGTATTCAGAAATTATTAGGAGAGTATTTAATTTTTTTTTTACATTGGTAAACATGCTATATATTTTTTGCTAAAAATCAAAGTGATGTTCATAAAAAAAGGTCATTTGGTTCATATTTCTTAGATGTTGCCCAAAAATATATTGAGAGCGCTGGTTCAAGGGGAACAATCGTCCATTTCCCCCTTAAATACACAATAATGAATAATATTCTAATTATAAAAATTGTGTTAATAATTTTAATTTCTAAGAAAATGAGTGTAATATTTAAAATATGATACTCTGTATAAGACTTTTACCTCTACTTCCATAGATGTAAACATAACTATTATTATATTATGTTATATAGAAAGATGTCAAGCTTAGATTGTTGAAAAAAATTAATAAAACTTCTTTGGAAATATTGTCTGAAATGTCTATCCGGTACATAGAATTAGAACCAACAGCTAAACAGTATTTATCTGAAAAAAATTTAACATTACCAACTATTTCTAATCTTATGTCATTTCCGTCATCTTTAAAAATTAAATCAAATTGTGAATCAAGCTCTATATCATTATCTAATTCCTCAATCAGGTATTATAGTATTTGAAGTATATAAATTAATTTAAAAAAAAGGTACTTATAATTTCACGTTATTTTTTAGCCATTCTAGCATTAAAGAAAAAAGTACGAATTTATTTGTGGAGAAGTAAGATATTGGAAATAAGGATTTCATAAAAATTTATATCATAAATAGAAGTAAAATTAGTGTATCTTCAAAATTTATTTTAAAATAATTCTAATTCTTAATAATTTATAGTAATTAATCCTTTCAAACCTGAATTTTTATTTTTAGTTGAAATTACTCATTCTTTTAACAATGGGTGACCCAAGAATAGACTTAAAAATAATTTTCAGAAAAAAATATTACTTTTATTTTCCATGCTTACACTAATATTCGATCAAAATTTAAGAAAATGCTAGAAACAAAATAGTGATCAGAGAGTCTGAAAGTTTTTAAAGTTGTTATAATTTAATTCTATTTTAGTCATCTATTTTAGGTATTTCAAGCATGGAACCTTAATAAATTAATCTTAATAAGTTAATGCATATGATTAATTGTATTTTTCGTTAAAAATATATTTTTAATTGTAATTTTTTATGTAAATTGTTTATCAAAATTAAAAAGTATTCGAAAAATATGTCAAATCACACAGATATTCAGTAATTAATTAATTACTTAAAATAAATAATTTTCAATAATCTTATTCCATTATTAGAATATACTTTGCTTCCAATGTAATAATACAGTCAAACAGTATTACTATGAAAACCGAATTATACATGCTTAATGTTTTATCCTTAAAATTAAATAAAAAACTATTTTTTATATGTTTAAAAATTATTCTCCAAAGAATTAGTCTCTAAGTACAAGATGACACGGTATTTTAAAGGTTATTAATAATAAAATTGTGACGCCGTTAAGATTTGACTGTGGAGTCACTTTATTTTATTTTAAGTTATAATAATATTACAAAAAAACTGGTGAACAGTAAGGTGCGAATAAAACTCAACCAGGCCTTGGTCAAAATAACACACGGCACGTACGGCGGATGTAAGTCACAGATGAACTGGTTTACATAGTCGCCGACGTTGTCTCGCGGTGCTGCACCCCCTGACCTGTCCTATCTACCGACCGCCGGTTAAGACAAACTTGTGTTATTGTCAACACTAATGAGTGCGACGGTGGATAGCTGATAATCACGACCGGATAACGTGCTAATTCACGGTAAATGAATAGTTGACGCGGTCGCATTGCACTTCCGACTTTACCGCTGGATGGCGACTGCGACACAGCTACCTCTCCTCGTCCGACAGGTCGCGCGACGCCGAGTGACCGCGGGTGAGGAGAACCGGTCTGGTGATGCAACAAGAAAATACTAATAATATAACATTACTTTTGACCATAGAATCTTCCTACTGTGTACTGATATTGTTTGAAAATATATGCTAACATAAAGTTAAACACTGTGTTATTAATTATTATTATTATTAAATTATCACCTGACCACAACATAGTGCGCTATTACGGGCCGTGTCAAAGAGTATTTTAATAATATTCCCTAATAGTTTATAAAATGGGTATTATTGGACACAATATTTTTTATCCTTCAAGAAAAATTCTCTCAATAGTTTCTTGGAAAAAAATTATAGCACAGTAGGGGGTTTTAAATAACACTTGTTTTTTAATATTATATGTTAAATAGGGATACTTGCCTCTCCTATTTAATTACATTGTTGATACTATCACATATACGTAATCATATCCCAAAAAATCATTGTACCGCCGATTAGAATTATAAAATTGACACAGTGACACATGTATAACAGTAGGGTGTACTGCACACATAAATACTTTTAGAATTGAAAGGTTATAAATTTCATAAAAAAAAATCGAATTATTTGGCCACCACGGATAAAATTTGTAACTTTTCATGGCCACTGAAAAATATAAAACGAGGGTCAACGTTTTATATTTTATATTTCAACGTTTTATACCCAACGTTTTCGGGTATCCGCCGGCTATTAAGCACGACGGGTATACGCCCCAAGTAAGCGACTAGTTTTAAGCAGTTAGACATAGCTTGCAGACGTTGAGACACCCCGAAATAAAACGCATATTGTACTAATAATATATACGCATCACCCCATATATTGTAATATAAAACCTATATAAATAAAAAAATCACACAAAAAATGTATATAACATGGCAGGTGGTATTGTAACACGCCTGCCACGTTGAGGGACTTAAAAAAACTAACGCAATGAGGAAGAACAGAAGATTTATTTTTACGTACAAATTTCCAGAAGAATTTAGAATTTGTAAGAAGGCAGATTTCAGCTTGTAACGTCACAAATTCAAAGGTGGACCGTTTATGATTTTTTGTTATGTCTACTTATTTATTTTATCGCGCGAAAGAACCTTTTTCTGACACAGCGGTGTCAACCACTCATTATTTTGCCTCTGACCACTAGATAAGGCGATAAAAGAGAAATATAATTAAAATCGAATTGTTTATCAGTATTGATCCCTTCCAAAAAGACTGGCCGTTATCGATATGAAATCGCCGTTAGATCGGTGTTGACTCTTCTCTATTCTTTCTTCTGTCATTGACCGTGCTAGGGTGCACACATTTGTTGTTTTATTGACATATTTTTCAATGATGGAGTAGAACCGCCAACGGCGAACGGCCAGATCTTTTCGGCGAAGCATCCAGACCATCGGATGGGTCTCTTCGGAGACCGGGTATCGTTTTCTTTTTTTATATTATATTTATGTAATGAGCTGTACTTTATTAATTATTTTATTTCATTTTATTTTATTGTAAATTAACTTAATTTTGTTTATGTGTGGAGAGCACGTGTTTCCCCTTTCTTCTAGCCAACGCTAAGGAGCGAGTGTCCAGACCGCTCCTGGTGTTCTTCATTAATTTCCGATTAACATTAACGGATGTGTTCCAATACCGTCCGTGATGTTTGTAATATTATTTGTTTAAATATTTTATTTTATTTGTATTGCCTTTATTTGTAGACATGGTTTTTGATGCATTCGCATTTTTGTCCATGTTTAACTTAATTTTCTTTTTTTAACAATTAAATTAAATTTCCTTATTAATTTCAATTGTAATATTTATTTTATTGCGCGAGTAACTTAATTACTCGCGTGTATTTCATTCCTATTCCTTAATCTAGACACGGGCTACGGTATGTTTTACATATCAACCACATACAACTTTGATTGTCTTAATTGTGTTCTATAAACCACGAGGCATTATAGTAATTTATACATATAACGACATATTAACTTAGATTATACTTTTAATTAACTTAAAATTAAATTCCACCTATGGTCCGGTAATCATATCTGATAGGTGTGACACCTCGCCTAGGTGGTGGCGACCCTTGCTACTCTAGCTAGTCGTTATGCAAGTGGCAAACCACGTTGTTGTTACAGGCCGANTTATGCAAGTGGCAAACTATGTTGTTACAGGCCGAATTACTAATATAAAAAGCCCGCTTGCAAGCTTTAGCAGTATATGAACGAAAATTTTGCTTAGAAAGATATTTATAGCGTGAACGGCATTATGAAAAATGACGATAGTTAACAAAAGATGGGGTGTTTTTAAATTTATAATGACCATGCCTTTTTTCAAAAACAAGGTTTCTCAATTCAGAATTAAACCATGGAGAAAATGTGGAGGAATGGGATTTATGCAGAGGCGTCATTTCAGTTTTTTTTGGGGTGTGCGAGGTTTAAAGCAGGCTATTTTGAAATTTCGGGCCATATAACAATAAATATACATACCTACATAACCGTATTACTTTTTTTCCTTTGATTATGAATTAAAATCAACATAAATAGTAAAAAGCCATTTGAAAAGAATAAATAATTGAATACCTTACCTATTGAAACCAATGAGTAATTCATAAAAGCTTAAAGATGGAAAATGCAGCAAAAAAATAAAAGAAAAAGAAAAATGCCCATAATATTTACATTTATTAATTGTCATAACTTATATAGGTAATAATAACTTTTGTACAAGCAGAGTTCTAAAAAATATCATTATATTTTAAATAAGTGGATACCAGCAATTTTTAAGCGAAGCAAATACATTCACAGCTTTTTCTAGATTTATATTGTTAACTTCTTCTTTTTCAACATTAAGTACCATGAGGTCGTTTAGTCTTTCATCTCCCATAGATGTGCATAAATATGACTTAATATTTTTGAGCAATGAAAAAAACCTTTCATTTGATGCTGTTGTAATCGGTAAAGTTTTTATTAATGAAATACTTTTTAATGTTTCAGTAAAAGCGATAGGAAAATCTTTCAAGCATATTGCTATAGTATCTAAATTAACATAATACTTTTTATCAAATAATGCTCAAATAGTAATTATAGTATGAAACACGATCTAATATTTAAAAAAAAAAGTTAACTTTTCATGAAAACGTTGCTATTTAGATTCCCTCTTTATAGTTAAATAAAGAGTAAGATTTTCAAAAAAATATATATAGAGTAATTTTTTTATCATAACCCACTTAATTGCAGAATATATATAATTTAAACATATTTTTTTTTTTGTTTTCTTTAGTTACACATTATTCTTTTAGTATAACTTTATTAGTTTATTAGATATAAACATTTAAGTTTCAAATTTTTGAGTTAATATAATACACAAGGGATTATAAATGCAAATGGCTAATTAGATTTTTATGACATTGCTGTCTCAGTCACGGATTGTTTATTATCAATTGTGACTATCAATAGATATACTTTCTGTATTGTCAGTTAGTGTATTTAAAAATCACAACAATGTGCCTTACTACCATTGATAATAACAATGCTATGTACCAGCTAATATCGATGTTATAAAAAATCAATTAGCTACCTGTATTTGTAAACCTTTATGTATTATACTTGTATATTAACTCAACATTTTGAAACTTTAAGTATTTATATCTAATAAACAAATAAAGTTATACTAAAAATTCAAATGCCATTTACTATTAAATTAAAAACTCAAACATTTTATTAAATTCAAAATATGTGTTCCCATTTAAAAACAAAGTTGACACCCTTACCAGGCATAAGGGATAAACTTAAAAAGTATTACATAGTTAATAATTCAAGAATAATGTGTAAATAAAGATAACCAATAAAAACTGATAAAAAAATCACCTTGTATACTTATGTATTTATAACAAAAAATTCCAATGATTCATCCATTTTTAAAAAAGGTACGACAGTTTTAAGAAAAAAACGATAGCACAGTGGGAATGCGACACAGTATAGACGTGGCATAGTTGGGACAAGTATAAATAATATCAGACAGTGATTAAAATCACTATTATAAGAAACGCTCCCATGCAAATCTGTAGATAATGTTTAATTTTAAGAAATTGGTGGATTATTGAAAAGCAAAATTCTAACTCAAAAAGAATAATACAAAAATTGAACAAAAATCATTGCCAAAGGCAATGATTTTTACTGAATAGGTAAACGTTCATCGTATTCGTTTTTTTATGAAATTAGCAATTAAAAGCTGATTCAAATGTTAAAATAAAAAATAAAAAAATAGCATGTTTTTTAACTATGGCAACCATTTGCACATAGAAGATAAAGTCGTCGGAACAAAATTTTTTT